TGTATGTATATATATGTATATATATATATGTATATATATATATGGGCTTTTTTTCTTTTTTGCCATCAACAGTTTTTATTAAATGTAACAAATACTCAGGAGGGTTAGCTACACATAATATCTAATTCAAGTTTTAAACTTCTGTTGCAGGTAAATGATGGCTAAATCTAAAATCAAAGTGCAACTTAAAAGTAATTTAAAAAATGAAAATATGAAAGAATAACAATAAAAATCAGAATTTTGATATTTGGAAACACATGGAACACCAACCTCAGTCTCCTGTCTCTTGTCTGTCAGACATCCAATAAAACCTAATATATATGTGAGCCTTGCTGCTCTATAAACTACTACACCTGACTTTTAAAAAAGCTTTCTGGCAAAATCCCTGAAGGCAAACCTTCCCCTCTGTGAACCCCCCTCACTGTTTAAGGATCTATTGCTAATACCTTGGCCAGATGGAAACATTTGGCGGGGGTTAGATCCAGTTTGTCACCACACCTTAGACAAGAGACAAGTAAAGAAGCAACAGAACGAAATGTTGACATCCAAGCAGGGACATTACATTTTGTCTTCAGAGACAACCTAGTTTGCATGTGAGACATCTTTTCAGTTTCCTTTGTTTTACTCAGGGACCTCAAGGACCACAGGGAGTCCAAGGAGAGAGAGGGCTGATAGGAGAAGGTCTGCCTGGACCAAAGGTGAGTTAGCGTTCATGCTTTTTAAGTCTGACCTTCTTCGTGTAAAAAAACAGCCAGGGAAACTCTTTTAACCCCTTTGACCCTGTTTAAGGCATTCATACCTTTCATATCTGCAAACTGACCTACACAAAGATCCATCTGGGCTCCAGATTCCAGAATGTAATGACAGGAAATTGATGATGTGTAGGATTACAAGACATGATAACTCAACACAAAAGTTCCATAAATTAACAGTGTGGTATGGCTCTCATTACCTCGTGCTGTGATCTAGTCCGTTGATCATATCCAGCACAGGACATGAGAACATCTCCACATAAAGCATAAAAAAGTTTCAGAGATGGTTCAAGAAAAAAGCCAGGGCATCATGTCAGTGACTCACTGAGAGAGGAAATACAGAGTCTTTTCGTATGTCTGTGTTTTCTCAAGGCCATCAGGCACACACATTCATATATGCACACTCAGTGTCTTTTAAGCACATGTGGATATATACGTTCTCTCATGTTGTTTTCGTTTTCCAAAGCAATTTCCACATGAGAGATATCTTTGACATTTTTGGGCCAAAAAAATTTTCATTCAGTATTTGAGTGTGTCCTTATACTGTGCAGAAGACATACACAGCATGTTTTTGTGATGCTTTAATGTTTCCTGTTGTTATTCTTAGTTTTCCCGTCCTTTTTCAGATTGCACAGCGTGTTTTTGTTTATGGGCTTCTGATTGGCCAACATTTCTGTATGTTTAGATTTATGCCTCCACCTGTTCTTTTGGCATGATTTTGAGTGACGTGTTTTTTTGTGTTTTCATGCAGACAGAGACATTTTTGAAATGAAAGTGGAAAATTTAAGACAATTTGAAACATCCAGCAGAGTTATTTCATTCTTTTTAATGTTGAAAAATATTAAAATATTTATCAGACTCAGCCCTTAGGTCATTTTAATTATCTCCCACAAAAGTTGTATTGATTCCCCAAGCAATTAAAAACAACATAGCTCAACATCAGTGTAATTGCAAAAATGTATTATTACTATTGGAAGCGTTCCTTTGTAAAATGTTTGTGGTTTCTTTCAAATTACAGGTGTCAGATCTGTGCATTTGTCATGCAGCTCTGTTGTTTTGATAAATGCACACAGCTAAATTAAACATAGTTACTGTAAAAACTCTGTGACTTTGTTATAAGACTAACAGAGCAGTTTTGTATCACAGGAAGTGGAATTCAGGTGAAATGTTCAACTTTAGACTGCTTCAGACTACTATTTGATTTATCACT